TCACCCATAAGCTGCTGCTGGTTTTCCAGTCACCCTGGAAGTGAGGTTGTGTGGACAATCAATGGTTAGTGTTAGTGCAAGAGAGGGAGGTATACAACTGAAATTACGACTGTGTGTAAACTACTTTTATTACCTCTGCCATCGCAGCGGACGGAGATTCAGTTCACGGTTCCATTCATCTTCTGGAGCATCAAACCACTTAACATACACCACATCTGCTACCTTGTCTTTGTAGAGTACGCTGAGCAGTAGCTGCACCTGCACACAAGGGCCATGCACATATGAGCAAACTCCAGAGAACTGAAGTACATACACACAACGAATGGAAACCAAACCTCCATTTGCCTACCCGTCCGTACCACACACCATAGCCCCCTGGGGTGTCGTTGTTCAGGATTGAAATGTCGCACACTGGGCATGCCTGGGTCTTGAAAAGGGACTTAGCCAGGCCGCCACCACGGATGTAAGTGACGGTGTGAAGTGGGGCGTAGTAAAGACATCCCATACGCCTGATGACAACCTACAAGTGTGAAGTTCACATGCATAGCATAGTCAACAACTAGCTAAATTATCACTGCTAAACCTGCTAGCACTGTATCATTAACCTATGTAACCAGCGAGCCTACCTTGGCATGATCCAGATCCTGTGCAGACACCCCCGGGGGTGTCTGGGGGCTGCCTGGGGCCCCAGGCAGCCACCAGCTGCTCTGTAAGGCACTGCTGCAGGTACTTTGCACCCTCCATGCCCCAGGCTGCTTCATCTGTTTGAAAAAAAATGCAAGACATGCATATAGTGTGATGCCATTGGGTCAACATTTTGGGAAAATACAAGCTTGCATACACCGACCTTGCAGATTCTTAACCTTTTCCATGGCCTGTATCCAAGGAAGGCTGAGACCTGACCGGCCGATGGCATGTTTCTTGTCCCTGAGTACCTGTGCTCTCTGGTACACAGGTACGTTGATACGTGCAACGTGGGTTAGGCGTGTAGCGGCATATAAAATCTTAGATGGTTACAGCAACATCTGCAGCACATACATAGCTTCAAACACACATACCAGGCGCGAAGCTTAAAGGCTAGCTTGGATGAATCACAGCTATAGTGGGAGGCTGGGCACGAGCTGCATTGCTGCTCTGAGGATGGTGCAGCTGCAGCTACAGCAGGTTGCTCTTGTCTGATTGGCCCAACTCTGCATGTGCTAGCTCCTCCTGCTTGGACGGAGTCTTATCTGCAGCTGCCTCTGCTTGCTGCTGCTCAGAAGCACTGCCACCACTGCCACCACCGATGCCACTACGGCTGTCACTGCTATTGCTGCTGTTGTCACGGCTGCTGCCGCTGCTGTGCCTGCTGCTGCTGCCACTGCTGCCATGGCTGCAGCTGTGTCTGTGGCTGCGGCTGCGGCTGCGGCTGTGGCTGCGGCTGCTGCTGCGGCTGCGTCTGCGGCTGTGCCTGTGCCGGTGGCTGCGGCTGTGGCTGTGGCTGTGGCTGTGGCTGCGGCTGCGGCTGCGGTTGCCACTGCCGCTTCCACTTCCGCTTCCGCTGCTGCTGCCGTTGCCGCTGCTGCTGCTGCTGCTGCTGCTGCTGCCGCTGTCGCTGCTGCTGCTGCTGCCGTTGCCGCTGCCGCTGCTGCTGCCGCTGTCGCTGCTGCTGCTGCTGCCGCTGCCGCTGCCGCTGCAGCTGCTACTCACC